TATATATATATATATAAGAGCATGTGCATTACATGATATTAATAATAATAATCTGAAATAAATCTAAAAATTTATTTTTATAATTTAAAAATATATTTACAAGTTACAAACAAATAAGCAAAATGCAAATAATATACAACAAATAAAACAGCGCACAAAATATATTTTAATCATGCATGAGATAAAACATATGTATATATAACTTTATTACAATAATAAATTTCACTTTAAAAATAAAAATTGGCATTTCATATGAACATTTTCAGGCAAACTGCAATTAAATAAAGAAAGAACAGTAATAGCCCCAAGGAAATTCTTATATAATAAATAATCAGCATATTGAAGGCAAAGAATAGCTGCATGCAAATATATGCAGTAAGTTTAAGAATAAACCAACCACCTTAATTGGATGATGATCATGACCCTGGCTGTTCACAACCTGAAACAAATCACATTATCTGATCAGGATAATGTTTTATTAATTTATATAAATGGTTTGTTCTGGAATTTAAATTTTATGTAGAAATATACACAATATATATTTACCTTCCTACAAAACAAACTTCATATTTATTATAATTACTATTACTAATTTCCTATTTTATTTATTTTGTTGAATGCTTTCATCTTTTAATGAAGGTTTCATTAATGAAAAATTGTGATTTTTATGTCAGTGATAACATTTCTTCACAATACTATATACTTTTGTTAAATTTGTATAATTTCAACCTATCAAGGAAATTTTGGAACTTAAATATAATCAAATCAAGTCAACTCAGCCTGAAAATTTCATTAAAGTAAAATAAAGCAAAAATCTTATCATCTTTTACATAGAAATACTTGTTTAAAAAACATATAATATGATTAAGTAAAAGTATTATGATGCTGCATTATAATTATGTATATTTATGATGTACTGAATAGTTATGTGCTGTTTCAATCCACACATTTTAATGTATACATGTTTTACTTTTTAATACATTATGATACAATATTTTTAATAAAATAAATACCAAAATTCCTTTTATTATTAGTTATATCTCATTAAAATGGTATGAATTTACAAGTTTCTAGTAGCAAAGAAATACAAAAAAATTAAAAAATATTTCTACAGCACATGTTTGATCTCATAATTTCAGTAGCTAAGAGACTGAATTATTTAGCACAAAATCATAACAACACAGAAAAAAAGAAAGCAACCTGTACTGCAACAAAGAATTGCATATCTTACACAGACTGAATTATTCATAAAGCACAATCAGAAGCCATTATCTACATCTATTTCAGCGGCAAAATTTTGATATCATTCAATAAACATTAGAGACTTATTTTCTGATATTTGTCTAATGTAATGCTAAGCAGTTTGACAACACCTAACCTTTTCATTTATGCAGATAAATAAAAATTAATTACAGTATGTATGTGTGTAAGTTTATTATGTATTCTCTATACAGGTATACCTCGCGTTACGTCGTTAATTGGTTCCAGGAGAACGACTTAAGTCGAAAAACGACGTAAGTCGAATTTACTTGTCTCCAAATCTACTTGTCACTAGGCTAAACCATAAATTGCCAATTCCGGTTCTGTATTTTATTTATTAATGCATTTTTAATAATGTATGGTTAATAAGGATCTATTTTAAGCTTACAAACAAATAAATTTCAGTTTTTAATATAGTACAGAAAAAAAGTAATCTAAAATATATGCATGTAAATGTATATATTTTAATATGATTTTATGTGCTTTAAACATTTTTCTAGTGATATTACGACTTCAATATTTGTGGCAGACAAACGTAAAGTCGAATAAAATGACTTAAATTTGATTTTTATTTTTCCATATACTTTTTTGACAAACGACGTATAATCGGGAACGACGTAACTCAAAACGACGTAAGTCGAGGTATACCTGTATATATAAAAATGAATGTAATGCTGTGTGTCTGTCCTTCATGCATTACCACACTGTTTATCCGATTGCCATGAAACTTTGGGAAGTTGTTTAATATACTCCCGCGAAGGTTTCTGGCATAGTACATTTATCCTACGATAGATGGCGCGAATGTATACGAGCATTCGCGCACAGCGTATTCGATCGATTTCAAATTGTGAAGACCATTTCCCCCTTTCAAAAAATATCTCTAAATTGTGAACTGTTATTTACGATATTTGTAATAATTTTTGTTTAATCACTTTATTTCAACATTTTTTGCTAATTATGCATTCGCTCAAACTTTGTTAAAACCTTAACTGTATCCCGAACTACAACTGAAGTTGTAGGAGGAAATTCGCCTATTTTACCGATCTAGGTATCCCCTTTTCCAAATTTTAATATCAACTCAAAATAATTTAAAAAGACAAATTACAATAAAATGATTTATTATCCAACTATCAGAAATTTCACAACATGCCAAAGAAGAGAGGAAGAAGCAATTAAATAATTAAAATTGTAAAGGATTTAAAAATATATATAAAAATGGGGAATATCGCACTTCTGACAATCGCTGCAAGTGTGTGGGCAAGATTTGGAGAATTCGTGCTTCTCACATAGACAACTCTATGTGGCCAGCTCACACGTCGGAAAACCTTCCGATTTATTCGTGTACACACCAGACGGAAAAACAAAAAATATCGTGTATCCACAAGCACTCCAATAAATAAATATAATTGAAATGACACTTTGAAATGTTTTCCTGATGAAAATGAATAATAATAATAAGTTTCAATAAAAATGATAAAATGTAAATTGAATTTTATTATAATGAGTTTGCTTGAATTTCGTTTCTTCTGAGATCGCAGCAATGTATGACGGGTAAGCTAGTTAATAATATACGTATGTTTGTTTTTTTTTTGCTTTATTTTACTTTTTTAACTCATTCTATATTTTAAATGGCAATTATGTAGAGTTCTAAGACTATTTGAAATTTTTTTAATTCAAAACTATGTCAAGTTCTAATGATAAATAACAGTATAGTAATTTATACCAATTTATAATATAAATTAATACAATAAAAACTGTACGATTTAATAAATCAAAATTTAAAAAAATTTACTTATACTAAAGAATTAAATAGTAAAAAATTTTAATTTAATAGAATGATTACAATGCTATTAATTGTGCTTCAACTTGATAGAAATATTATGCTTACAAAAATTTTTTCTTCAAACTTTTAGTAATGCTTATAATATAAATTTATTATTGAATTTCTTATAACTATTCTAATATATTAATAATAGTTTTGAAATTCAATTTATACAAAAACTAGAAAATAGTTTTTTAAAAAAGAGACATGCTTAAATATAACAGAATCAATTGAAAATTGACAACAATTTTAAGATATAATTTCAATATTTATATCTCAAATTTAACTGTCTGAGTATAAACATTCAATGTACCAGTTGACCCCCCCTATAACACTGTTGATAATTTTGTTTTATATGAATTCCATGTTGTACGAGTCACTTAGATTTTATAAGTACATGAACCGTTCACAGCCCAGCACACGTATTTGTAAAATCTAAGTGACTCGTACAACATGGAATTCATATAAAACGGAATTATCAACAGTGTTATAGGGGGATCGACTGTATTCAATAAAAAACTAAAAGAAGAAATAAAATGATAAATTTGATAAGGATTAGTAAGATCATGCATTTCAATTTGTATACTTTCATACATCTAAATTTGTAATTTTTGTCATACAATATTCTATAATGTTTTATACTAAAAATATGTAAATGAGTAAATGTTTACACAGAAAATACAAAATATTCTGCTGAATACTATAAGTTTTCCTTAAAATATCCTTTATAGACTATGTAAATAAATATACAGGGTATCCCAAAAGTATCCATACATTGACACAAATCAAGCCCACCAGTGGCCAAATAAATAAAATCATTGAACACTGGTCATTGGTTCATGCCTGACCAATGGGCTGGCCACCATGCAGTGTTTTGGGTTTTCTTCATGTGTCTAACACCTAAACGAAATCCAGTTTCCTCATAGGAAGCCCTGCTAAAAGTTACCCCATTGGCAGATGACCCATGTGTTCTGTTGCCTTACTCCGTCAATCCACTGACACAAATTTTAATGCTGACATTTTAATGTTTTGTGAATAAAGTTACATTTCACCTTTGTATGTATGAAAACTTTTGGGACATCCTGTATATTAAAATACTACTTTGTACTTTTGGTATAAGGTAAACTTTATGAAGAATTTGTGCATATTTCAATTATTTTTCAGCATAAATCCTAATGTTAATAAAAATTTTCTGGTAAAATAATCCTTAAATAATTATGGCATACATTTTATAATAGTAACTTATTTTGAGTGTGTATCATTTTCAATGTACTGAATTTCAGATTATATGCAGATAATAATTTTCATTATTATTCATTAAAATGGAAAATTCACACAGTTTCTACAAACATAATTGTTTTGTGCAATTTCTATTGAATATCATTTTCAATATTTACAACTTATATACTGTAATAGGATCTTAGATAAAAAAAAAGTCAATGCTAGCAAATGCTTTCCAATTATAGGATACTGAAGATTGCTTATCAATATAACAAAGGTCTTTATATAAAATTTTGTTGCAATTTTATAAATCAGAATAACAAAAAACTTTTTATATATCATTTAGTGGGCCAAATAAATATTAATTAGACATGCTTTTGTAGTATCATCATTTTGGAATACAGCAGAGCATGGATTATCCGAATACCAATCAACTGAAACACCGGTTAACCGAAAGCGTTCCAGTCAGCAAATTCAAATTGCCGCTAGTGCTGTGGCGCTGCAGTACTCTCCACTCCCTGCCAACCTAAACTGTAGACATACTTTAATGTATTACTTTGGGTAGGTATGTATTTGTAAGACATGTGATACAAAATATATACAGTACAGTTTTGTGTTTAATATATTTTTTCATTAATTTAATGATCAGTTATCCAAACAACCCCAGTCCTGAATTATTTTGGATAATCAATGCTCTACTGTATATGCATAAGTATGCAAAAACATACCAAAAGCTACATATTCTCTCTGTAGTAAAATTATTCATTGCAAAAAAGGAAATATAGCTTTTAGAAGTTTCAAGAAGACTTTTGCAGAACAGCACATGGAATTACTTTAGAAACAAAGAAATTAAACACTTATTCATGAAACCATCTATAACTATAAATTAGTTGGAATAATGAAATAAAATAATAAAACAGACTTTGTATTTCTTCAGCAACAAATATAAAGCCTTCATATAACAATCTGTCAAAAGAAATGATAAACATTCCATTTTAAAATAAGAAAGACTGCATTAAAGTATTAAAATACAAATTAGGAAAAATATTTCTGTGGAATATAAAACTGTATTAATCTTCCATGTAAATTTAATTGTTATTGAGCTTTACTTATTAAATAAAAATTTGAAAATATTAATTTTGTATTATTAAACGTATATATTTTATACAACTGCTATTTATAAATAAGTTACTAATAAGAGATTTCAATCTCTTATTTTGATCAGATTACTAATTTACTTCAACAACATTGACTAAATATTTTTTGTGCATTATACAGTATTTTAATCAAATTATTTTGTTCTTAAAAGTTTTAAATTATATTCAATAACAAATGAATTGAAACAATTAATTTATGTAATAAAAATTCAAATGTAATTTGTTTTACAGATCTATACTATTGTTTTTATATATCTTTCACAAAAGTTGAAGAATAAAAATGATTTTAAATACTTAAGATTATAAATTATCAAAAGAAAAATTAACTTACAGGACTTGCTGGAGTACGTGGCCAGCTAGGACTGGACACACTATCAAATTCGTCATGAAAAGAAGACATAGATGCAGCTCCAGGGGATGGAAGAGCATTTGGTGTTGGTGGATGAGACATTACTGTTTTCCCACCTTTAGAAGTATCACCATGTTCATCAGGTAGTGAAGATGAAGCAGACAAATTGGAGGCTTGACTGCCTTCATCCATAATAGGTGGTGGCTGTGGATGTCCAACAACATGTGCTCTACCTTGAGATTGAGATGACTGTGTTTGCTGATGACCCGAAAGTGAATGAGTTCCTAAGGAATGCTCTGAGGGACTTGAAACAGTCATTGGCACAGTGGATAAAGGGCTGCCAATACTCTGTGTAACTGTTGTGGGTGGAGAACCTATAGAAATATAATTAATGTTAAATTTTTACCTTTGGTTTTTAAAATTATTATTTTTATAATTTTAAAAAATCAACATTACAAATACTTGACACCATATTAGAATTTATGTATTTCCAATGCTTATTTCAAGTAGCCAAAGTATTCACAGTAATGTTTTTATTCAAGGACAGAGAAAATATTCTATAATATTAAAAACATTTACATCAGAAGAATACGCATGTCTATTGATGATGTCACCAGTAGAACTCATGGATTTCGTTGATCGTATCGCATTCAAATTTTTGTATTCCATCAAATGTTTTTTACATATTTAAGTTTTTTCACCTGAGGAAGAACCTACTTCAGTTCGAAAACGTTTGTGGGACCTTTTTTCTTGATAATTTTTTATTTAATATCGCACCGTAAAGGTTTGTAGTTGTTTAATTTTGCTTTAACACGGTGTGGTTGAGAAGTTTAATGTTTTTATTCTTATATTTAACTGCACAACACCGGAATGTAAATAAAACATACAATTCACCAACCAATTAACCGGTGTGAATAGTGTTTAAGTGACGAACATTTTCATTACACCTTCTGGGCACTTATTCAGGTGTATTCTTAATTCAAATAGGCTGGCAGTTGACATTTAAAAATAAATCAAATGGTATGAATATCAAATACAGTATGCGCATGCGTTCTCCATAAGATGTTTAAAAAAAAAAAATGTCGATCATCAAGTTGAGTTGGAACACAGAACTACTGTGCATGCATTTGGTGAGCCAAACGCATGCACAAATATGATTGAAAATTAAATGTCTTTGTCAATTATATCAACATCGACAGACACATCTCCTTAAAAGCAACGCATGTGGTTCTGCTGCAGGTTTTAAAAATTTTGATGACCTCTAACCATCTGAGGTGTTCCAGGTGCGAGGTGATAAGGATAATTCTAGCTCTGGAGAAGTCTGCCATAATATCTAGGTCTGTCGCATAAGTGGAGAGAGCAGTCATATTCCTACCATATTGTATGTCAGATTTATGTTCCCGTAATCTGACCCCATTGATAAAAAGGAAGAGGATAAGGAGAGGATCCCCATCACCTTTAACCTCAATTTAAAATCATTGTATGCCACAATTGTCAAGTCAGGTCAGCATTGAATACAAGAGATGGCCAACCATTTTCAACATACTGTGCAATGGAAAAGACCCTTCTAACTCCGACAGACTACCAGGCATTTATAATGTCCCTATCAGAGACAACAGGTGTGATAGGGAAATGGTGTATGATGGCTCCACTAAACATTCAATGGGGGTCAGATTATGGGAACATAAATCTGACATACAGCATAGTAAGAGTACAACTGCTCTCTCCACTTACATGATAGACTCGGATATTATGGCAGACTTTTCTGGAGCCAGAATATCCTTACCACCCCGCACTCAGAACACCCCAAATGATTAGAGACCATCGAAATTTTTAAAGCCTACAGCAGAACCACGGGCGTTATTTTTAAGGAGAAGATATGTCTGTTGATGACATGGCAGGCTATACTTGACAAAGACATTTAATTTTCAATCATATTTTGAGCCGAACGCATGCACAAGTTTTCTGTGTTCCAACTCAACTTGATGTTCGACATTTTTTTCTAAACATCTTATGGAGAATGCATGCGTATACCGTATTTGATATCTGTATCATTCGATTTATTTTCAAATGTCAATGGCCAGCCTATTTGAATTAAGAATTGACCTGAAGAAGTGACCAGAAGTGGTAATGAAAATGTTCATCACTTAAATGTTATTCACACCGGTTAATTGGTCGGTGAGTCATAAATTTTACGTTTTTATTCTATATTTGATTATCCTCAGCTTCAAAATACAATAGTTAGAATATAAAGAACTTCAAAACAACATGTGCAATAGATATATACAACAATAAATAAACATTAGCAATTCTTTTTAGCTTGAACATAAACACAATACAATTATTATAAATTGGCCATGTCAGCTTAATTTATGACTAAGGGCCAGATTTGTATGGACATGTATGTTTTTCCCTTAAATAATTATTAACTCAATATAAACATAATTTGGGTCCAAACAGATCAAATCATGATTTCCAATAATACACATTTTTTTTTGCATTTATGATTTTACTATTTTCTAGATTTGACCATTTTTGGGACTAAATAACTGCTTTATAAATTTTATAGCTTGTTTGTATGATTGCAAATGCTGTTTTTTCAAATGATATTATATATAATCTTTTCTGCTATCTTTGTAGTAAATCTATTTTTTGTATATATAGTTCTTGTAAGAAATATCACTCCACTGTCCAATTACAGGTAAGTACACAATATTCAAATGCTTTAAATTTAAACTGTCTAACTCTCTTCTTTTAAAGTCTCACAAGCAAACATGTTTATGCTGCCATGGAAATCATTCATTTTTTTTCAAACTCTCAAAATCCTTTGAATTAACTGAATTAAAGTTATTGTGAATGTTATATTTATTATTTTAATAATATTAAACTTAAATCTTTCAAAAATTGTCTAAATGTAAAGATGATAATTTCTCTCTTTTGTGTGAGTATAGTAGTCAAGCTTCCACATGCACAGAAAAGATACAATTTTATAAACTCGATTCAACTAATAATGTAGATAAAATGGCAAAGCTAATCCTGAAATGCTAAGAAAGTATGTACAGAAGTTCGGATCCTATACATTTAAAACAGATTTAAAAAATTCTTTATTGAAATGCATGCCACAAATCATTTCCTGCTAAAAAGAGGTTTCAAGGTAGATCAGCAGGTTGAAACATCCTCAGATCAAAGCAACATGAAGTGTCAAAATGACATTAAACATAATATATGATAAACAAAATGACATTAAAGATAAGTGTCAAAATGAGCCAAAATACAGGTAAATTCTAGTTGTGCTAAAATTTTAATAGAATTCAGATATCATTACTATCAACTTTGATACTAAATATATAATTATGTTAGCAATTTAATAAGAGCATTTACCTATTTCTTATCACTTGTACAGGGCTATAAACAAAATAATATGTGACTATTTTAAAGAGGTGGCATAACAATAGGACAAGGGAAACTAGATTAACCTAGTAATCCTCAAATATCTTATAAACGATTCAATAATAATTGATTAGCTAGCATAGTTATAAAATTTTATTGAGCATGAAATTTTATTCATAACTGAGTTTAGTGTAATTAAGTCAGTCATTGACTTAATTGCATTTAATGTAATGGAATATAATGTTGACCTGATGCAGATCTTGTATACGATTGAAAACATTCATCAAGTTTTACATTAAATTTCATTACTGGATGCTAAAGGTTTTGTTGATTGTGCTTTGTAATTCATTACAGTTATTGAGAAGAAGGTAATTTGTGATACTCTAACAAGAAATATTGCCTTAGAAATTTAATTTTACATAATTAAATTTCTTTATTATAAAAACTGCAGTAAGAATTAATTAGAATTATAGTAAATAAAAACAAAATGTATTAAAATAAACAAACATAATCATCATTTGTTTTAGTCTAAAAGCCTGTCATTTTCTATTTTTTTCTGAAATACAGGGTAATTCAAAAGTCCCAATTCATTTCCTTGAAAAACAATACAGATCAATGAAAGTAATGAATATGAAGTGGAATCAGTGTAATTCAGCATGTTGCCATTGAATGTCTAGGTACTGTACAAGCTACAATCTTTATTTTTAAATTGTCTACATGGACATTACTCATTAATAGGACTTTACACTGGTGTTTAAAAATGTTTTCTGAACTAACTCTCATTATTGTGTCAATTTTTAAACACCAGTGTAAAGTCCTATTAATGAGTAATGTCCAAGTAGACAATTAAAAATAAATTAGAAGTAAGGACTGTAAGGCAATTTATAAAGCTACAATCTCGTCACAGTTGATATAAAAACCCTTTGTGACGTATCAGATGCAATAGGTTCACAGCAGCTGTAATGTAATTCATCAGACCCTGAATATTATTAATCTTTACCTTGAACACCTGTGACTTGATGTAGCCTCTAAGCAAAAAAAGTCCAGGGGTGTCAAGTCTAGTGAATGAGGAGCCCATAACCTAGCTGAGCTCCTCCCAATTCACCTACCAGGAAATGTCACATTAAGATAATCATGTACAGTACAATGCTATCAAACTGGGATGGGGCACTGTCCTTTTAAAACACAATGGTATCAAAAATGCCACCTGCAATCAACTGTATCTCTAACATATCATCAGTTGTAACATATCAACTAATGTTACAACTGATATGTTACAACTGATATGTTACAACTGATGTGTAACATATCAAGATACACTGCACTATTCATTGTGCCTTTCATAAACATGAAAGGCCCAGTAAAGATGACGTCATAGTCTTCATTCTCACTGGGTCTTTTATGGATGACTTGTAGAAAAAACAAATGAAATGTTAGAATTTTCAAATTTTTCTTCTTTCAATCTAAACAAAATACATTTTTTTTAGTTTGTAAGCCATAAATGAAAAGTATAGGCTATAGATTATATTATTTCAAAGTGAGATACACTAAAATTACACTCAGCCAAAATAACTGTTAAATCTAACTATTAAAAGTATTGAAGTTATAATATAATCTTTGTCATTATTCATATTCTGCTTATTATTTTAACCTCTCATTATGAATAAATAGAAAATTTCATTTGCCTTTCTATACCTTTGAAGAAAATCAGTAGGCCTTTGGATCCAAAATGAAATAAATATATATTAAGACTTTTTATGCTAAATATGTATTTGCCATCATCAAATCCAATCAAATTAACATTGGAAATATTCAAAATATGATTCAAAGGTAGGTCTTGCTTAATACAAAGTATTAGGAATTATTAAATTCATGGACTATATCAAGAGGAAAATATTTTTTAACTAGAAGGCTATCTCATTTCAGAGGAATTTCACAATGCTGTATGTTGTATTTTAGTTTGTATTAAGCATATAACTTACATAAACAACTTCACATAAGTTACATGCTTAATACTGTAATAAATAATAAAGCGAAATGATCAAAAACATCATATTACTTATTTATAAGATAGGTTATTATTTCAGATAATTTATAAAAAATTAAAAGATAAACAACTAGAGAAACAAGAGAAGATATCAAAAAACTTATTTTATATTACTACATTTTCAGACTGCACCAGAAGCCGTAAAGTTTGCTTCTGTGCTTCTGGAGTAGACAGTTTCCATCTTCTATTGATTTCATTAAAACAATAAACATTAATTCTTCTGTTTTAAATAATTTCATTGATATACAAATAAATAGACATTTATAAATTGTGTGTATAGCTATGTTTTTTGATGTATTTCTGATCTTCTTCAATTAGATAATTATGAAAATCAACATTTACAATTATTAATATTAAACAAATATTCAAATGCAAAAAGTTCTTTTATTATATACTAATTTAGTTACTTTTTTAAATCATTATTGCCAGCTTAATGTTTTCATATTTAATTAAAAGTAAAATGATTTAAAAGCACATTCCAATTTTTAAACACAGCAACCTGAATATTATGATGAAGTATTATATATAAAAATAGCAACTAATACCTGTGGAAGGAGCAGAAGTTTGTGTGAATCCTTGTGCCCCAACTGATGCTGAGTTTGATGCATTGTCACAATTAGAGACATTACCAAGTCCCATTGAAGTGGGAGGCATGGCAGAAATTTGACTTAACGGTTGTGCAGATGGCGTACTTGCTGCTGGTGGAGGCATTGGAGATGATTCTGGCATAACTGTGGGAGGACCTGCAGCTCCAGTCATTGCACCTCCTGCTATAAATCCTTGAGTGCCTGCTTGAGATTGCATATTGCCATAATTACCACCATACATTTTTTGCTGTAAATGCTGTCTTAAATATACTGGAGATCTCATAGTAGCAGAACTTGCAGCTGCTATTACTGCAGCCTGGGCTGCTGCTTGTGCAGCACCTGGTGGACCAGTACTTCCCTTAGGATACTGTGCTGGAGGAGGCATCATATTATTCATCCCATAACCTGTACTAGAAGGAGGGCCAGTGCTTCCATACTGAGAATTCATATAACTGCTAGTTGTACCAGGACCAGCATTGTAACCCTGTGTACCAGTCACAGATGTTTGTCCACTCATTCTACCTACTACAGAATATCCACTAACATTTCCACCATAAGTACTGTTCTGATTTGGTGAGCCATAATTCTGCATGCCAAGAGTTCCCTGAGTACAATGGTAGTTGCCTATTAAAAAAGTATTGATATACCATGTTAGATAATATTTGAGATTAAATATTTAATAATTAAAAATAAAATTATAAGTTGGTAATTATAATCGTAATAGGATTGATATTTTAATATATATATAAACTAGAGATTAAGAATTCACATTTATACGAGGGCAGTTTTTTCAAGCTCCGATGGTCCATAAAACAAAGACGAGTGTAAATAAAATGAATTTATTACCAAAAAACTTGGGTACAAACATGATTACTTTTCAACATAATCACCGTGAAGATTGAGGCACTTGTCATATCTGTGAATGAGCTTTTCCATCCTCTTGTCATAGAATGTGCCCAATAACTTGAGTTGGGCCCTAACATGTTTTTTGAAGATTGTCATTAGACTCAAACCTCTGCCCTGCTAGCCACGTTTTCAGTTCAGGAAAGAGGTGGAAGTTGCTTGGTGCTAAATCAGGGCTAAAGTTCCAAGCTGGGTAGATATGACAAATGCCACAATCTTCATGATGATTGTGTCAAAAAGTAACCATGTCTGTACCTAACTTTTGGTAATAAATTCATTTTGTTATTTACACTTGTCTTTGTTTTATGGACCATCAGAGCTTGAAGAAAAAAACAGCCTACGTAATATAACACACAATACAAAATTAATGAAACTAGTTAAAATATTAAGCATATTAAGTATAATGTATCAGTAATAATCAAAAGAAATGAGTTTTATTTATAACTTAATTTATAACAGTCAATATTCAATCTATTATCCTCAAAATTTTTTTTCATACATAGGACAAGTAATTTAATAAAGTAGCTTAAATTTGTATAAAAATGACTTCATTTTAATTGTTTGTATCTATTACAATAGAGAAAAGCATTGTTTTATAAATTAACAAAAATAACAAATGTGGCCTTAATGTTTTATTAAGATCATATTGAGAGTTATGAAATACAGTCAACTCCCATTAATAAAATCTGCTAGGAGAACAGAAAATAGTTCGCTTTATCAAAAATTTGTATTAACAATTTTCAGGGTGACGATCAAGGTTGTATAATTTATGAAGTTAAAGATTAATATTCAATTGATATCTCTAAATTATAGTATTTTAAACTAATTTACTAAATAAAGTTAAATAAAATTAAAATTTACAAAAATAAATTAATGATCAAAATGATTTTCAAATCAAACAAAATTAAGAGGAGACAGCATTTGCCAATTAATTACAGAGCAGTGTATCAGGATGGTTAAACAAAACAAAGATAAAAGAAATCCATAGTTTTTTTCTGTTAAAGATTGAAAAAGTATAAAATATTTTTTGTGTCAAAAGAGTAAAAAGAAACCAAAACTGGCATCACTGTATGCACTCCCAATATGCAAACTAACACGAGTTTGCATGGGACCACATCCATTTAAAGGGATGGACATTCTTAAACTTTAACTTCTATTTTCTAAGTACTGTACAGTAGAATGACCTATTAAAATCATGTTCTTTCTTCCAGCTTGTATTATTACCTATAGTTGGGATAAGACAAAGAATGGTGCAAAACCTTTCTTTGTCTTATCCCAACCATATGTAATTAATCATTGTTAATAAAATATCATTACTAAAACCAAAACCAAATATGAGATATTAAGCATACCATATCAATGAGCAATGGAAAGCATACCATATCAATTCTACTCTATTCATTCACTATGTTGCAGTTCAACCAATATAATAAATGGAGGTGAAACTAAATTTCAAATTGTTAGATTTTGTGTTTGTGAAACAATTATTTTATTATTATTTAGTAGAAGAATGATTATTATAATAATAATTTTATGTAGTTGGTATATTGATTATTGCTAATTTATACTTTTGTAATTACAGCAGGATAGAATAATTTATTTAACTGACTAAACACAATATAGCTTTAATGGAGATAGTTGAATTGATTTCATATTTGGTGGTATGACGATGTGGAAATGATGACTTGAATAACAGCAAAATTTTTAAAATTTAGATAAATGTTAAGCACTTAATTAATGAATGAAATATAAACAATCATAGAATACAGTTAAAGTACATTACATTTTGATTTTGAAAATTAAATTCAAAATAACACATTTCTACCTACATCTTTAATTACAACTACTGAATGCTAAAAAATAAGAGACATTTTTATCTGGCAATAAATATTAAAGCGTTTACTTTACATTATTCTTCTTTGAGTATAATTTCTGATATTATCAAACATCTTTTGATCTTGCAATGAGTTTTATGGAGAAAATGGTGTAGATATATATGAAACTCTAGAAAGATAAGATTTTACTATACATGTTTGTTTGTAAATTGATTTATATTGGCAATAATAAATGGATGTTGAAGAATGGAAAATGAATTTTTTGACTTTCAACTGGAATAATAAAACATTTTGAAAATAAAGTTATTTCAATTTCTGTCTTGAACCTTTCTGGAGTGAGAAAAACAGATGCTTAATAATATATGAAATTATATTTATGGAAGAAAAATTCTAAATATACATTCTGTATGAAGTCAACATGCTTACTTTATATTTAACTTTATTTTAACAATTTTGTTTACTTCATAATATACAAGTCATGAATCCAATCTATTAATCTACAGTCAATGGAATAATTGTTTTATTTTATTTTGTAATACTTAGTCATCTAAATGTAAACAATAAATAACAGATACTTCTTTTCTGTAATTTAAAGGAATGGAAGTTGAGTCTTACAAAACCTTTAAAATAGGTTTCTTATAATTAAAATTAGAAATTGTGACAAATTATTTCAATTATAATTATATGAACCATTATACTACAGTCAATATATATCCTATTTGTATAAACTTTTAATTAAAAAAATACTATAAATTTGGTCTATTTATTGTATATTCCAACATATAAGTTAACTCCTAAATATACAGAAGATTATTAGCAAGCTAGAACTGAAAAGTAGTTACATTATCCTAAGAGAAAAGTGCATAATAAGACCAGACCACTGTCATAAAGAGTAATTTTAATATCTTCAATTATATATATATTGGAACAGTGGCGTACCGTGGGTGTCAGCCGCCCGGGGCAGAGGAAAATTTCGGCTCCCTTATTTAGGTATTTCAATTTAAAAAACCAAAATTCAGTTTTGTCACAGAACAAGCAATGAAAAATTCGGTGGTAGTGCAGTGACCTGTTCAAAATAGTTCTATTGGACATTAGTGGTGTATATGAACATGAATGAATTGTACAAGTGGGGGGGGGGAAAGGTCAACAGGTTTTGCAGGATTTCCTCGGATGAGCAACTTACTAGTTCATCCGGACGGCGAGCCGATTCCCAGACTGTCTGGACAATAGCACTATCGTAGGTGCGATGCAAGTATAGATTAGGATGTTTCAAATTTTTACAAGATATTATTATTATTCATTGTGAAATTTTTGCCGCTCCCCTAAAAGGTGCCACCCGGGGCAGGCTGCTCCTGCCACCCCCACTATGGTACGCCACTGTGTTGGAACCCTAATAATCAAGCCTTATTTAACTGAAGCAAACTTATAAATGAATATACAGTGGAACCCCAATTAATAAACGTCCTGGTTGACAATCAAATCGGTTAACAAACTTTTATTTTGGAAAATTTTTGTCTCGGATAACGAACAAAATTCGGATAATGAACTTAACAGCTTTTTGTGTCAAATTTGTAAGCTTGCCGACTTTTAGGGAAAATCAGTTAATTGTGTGTCGGTGATGGTCTAGGGTCCATTCGTACATTGGTGTGGTGGAGGAGACAAAGATGACAAATATTTTACAGTGAAAATCGTTTATTAGAACGTGAAGATGCTTACATATTTGAGGTAGTTGGAAATGGCTTATCTACAGTATTTTCTCTTGGCACTGAGGAGTGGCGTATCGCTGGTCCTACAATAGTGCAAGCTGATCAGTCGTAGCCCCAGAGCGGACGAGATGGGTTTGCTTGGTCACAGAAGCGATGGTAGGTGACAGAGCTGCAACAACTGGAGCGGTCTGCGAGACACAACACAAATTTTAGTGGGCACGACTTCAGGCTTAATCCAGATGAAGACGACATAGATTAATCGCCATAGAATTTTTAGGAAAACTGCATTTTGACCTTGAGATTTGGGTTTTTTATAGTATTTCTTCCTTGAATCTCACCTTACGATTAGTCCTGCGTCCCATTCCTCACTTCCCGATTGTTTTCTTCTTTGTCTCCAGGTGAAAACCGAAACCAGATCAGGTCACGAGAAAGGTTTGTTCCGAGGCGTTTATTTGACACCTGTTCGTCAACTCTGATCAGAGATTGTTGATAAATCTATAAGCCTTTTGCTCATAATTTAGACTATATTTTCTGCTATCTGTCATTTTAGAACTTTAACGATCGTATGTGATGTTTTTATACCCGTCAAATCTTTCCCTTTTTCCGAAAATTTAACCTAGATTGATTGTTTATGACCACATTTTCCTATATTTTCATTAAAGAAAACCCATTTTACAAATAAAATTACAAAAATACTGACATCTAGAATGGATTAATTGTATTTGCATTAATTTCTATGGGAAAAACTGCTTCGGTTAACAAACGGACTCGTGGAATGGATTACGTTCGTTAACCGGGGTTCCACTGCATTATGTTTTTTATACTGAAATTAATAAAATAAAGTTTAAAAATGACAACATGTATTGCAGAATGATTTGTTTCTACTACATTTTACCATATGACTTTAATGTGAGACAAACCATTCCATATTAAAATGTAACTACAATAACACACATTTTTTAAATTTCCAATTGGAGAAAATCATTATTCTTTTATTTATTTTTCTGAAATAGAAGACAGAACCAGTACATGACCTGATGCAACAACTTTATCAAGATTATTATTGTAAGAATTTAATAAAGTCATTGCATCAGATCAGGCATTGGTTCTGTCTTCTATTTCAGAAGAATAAATAAAGAATACTTATTTTTATTCTTAAAATTATTGTACTGTACATATTAGTTGGTGTTATTACTCATC